AGCCAAGTCCTGCTCCCTCACCACAGACATGTCATGTGACCTGGAGCAGGCTGTAACCCGACCATGACTGTGTCTATGGTTCTCCTACCCAGGAAGACATGATGATTCACTGACTTACTGACTCACACATCATTTAAGGCTTGGTGCCAAAGACACAACATACATGATAGTTCAATTGTGCATCTTCAAATTGAATCTAATTAATCAAATATACTTTATATTGTCGACTTTGGCTTTGCCTTAGTAATCACATTGTTGAATGTATTGTTATTCCACTAGGGGGTTGTTTCTTGACATGCCTGGACAAGATAGAGAGTGTGGTAGTACAAGATAAATCACTGTATGGACTTTAAATGTAAGCTCAAACACAAAATGTAACATGCAATGATTCAATGTTCACCTCTGACTATTGTGTAAACTATTAGGGAATGCCAGTGTAAAGAGGTCAGCCTATCCCAGCTCGGAGGATACACAGCAGGAACGTGTAGGTTTTCTGTAGGGATCAGGATGGACAGCAGCCCCTTTCATCGGCTGCTCTCTGATCAGTCATGTGTGGGTCAACCTGGAGCTAATATCTGCAAAGGCTCGGCTGAATGCAGTGAAGAAGACACAACGTTGATGAGCAGCACAACTAAACCACTTCACTTGAGGGCAGTGTTTCTTAAACAATGGGCCAGGTGAAATTTGAAAAACTACTTTAAAAAAGAGCTGATCAATTTGAAAGAATACATATGTTTTTAATATAATGAGCTGTGCACGTTAAACTCTGCTGTAGGTTAGAAACTGGAACAGATTGACACAGAGCCTATGGAAATGAGCACAGGACACACACACAACACACACTTCAATGTAAAGACACGGGTACAGACAAACACACACAAACTCTCTCACTCATACCAAATACCTCCCTGTCATGCCTGCTTCCAAAAACATGGCCAATCTCACCGCAAACTAATAGTCCTGGGCTGCTATCTTCATCACCCCTGGGAACCAAACACACGGACACCAGCACAACCTCGACGCACAAACACACAGAAACCATTACACACAAAACAACAACACACAAAGACACGGAAAGAGAGAGTGTGAGTTCCTCAGTAGAAGCCTGCTCCTGGACTAAATTATAATTTATTCAAATTGTGAATGATCCTTTTAGGCAATTAAAAAGTCCTTCCCAAATGTAGGGGGGTTATAACGCCCCTCTCACTGCTAACCACACTAACCACAGGGATTTCCATGTGCGAGGCTGCATCCTGTACCAAGCAGCCAGATATTCCAACTATCCACACCACACGCCAGAGCACCGAGAAACAGCAGGGTGGGGACAGTGTGTGTGTGGGTGGGTGGGTGGGTGTGTGAGATAGCTGGCGTTTTATCATTGATGTATCAATCTTTTTGTATCCATCTCTCTATTCATTGCTCTCTCTTATACATATATTATATAAAAAAAAGATAATGATTAAACATAATGAAAATTGAAAGTGTTTATGAACTGCTCCACCTTGGTTGGCAAATGCTGGGGTGTGAAGGCATGCTGAGCAAGAAAGAGAGGAATTCAAGTGAGAGGCCTGACAGACTCCAGGCCTTAGGAAACATTTGATCACCGAGTGTGTGGGTCTGGGTGTTCACGTATGGGTATGATTTGTATCAAGTGTTAGACCACAGTAGGCTCTAAGGACGGGACTGCCTCAATCAACCCTTTTAATGCATCTTATGGTTATGAGTGACAGCAGAATCAGGGGGTAGAGAGTGGAAGGGAGGGAATGGAAACAGAGCAGCGGGTGTGTGACCTGAGGTTCACACTTCACTGCAAAAACAGTGAGAATTCTGAGAGAATTGAAAGATATTCAAAGGTATGTCAACATCGTAGGAAGTGTACCCTGGTTAGACCACTCGGGACACACACATTAAGCACTCTTCTTTCACAAACGGACACACACAGGAGATTGCAGATCTTAAATATGTCTCCCTGTTTTAGCTGAACCAACAGAAGGCCTGCTCCTTTAGGAAGTTATTTTCTCTTTTTAGGAATATTTATATGGACTGGCAATAAGAGAACATATTATTAAAGGATTTAATGATAATAAAAAATAGTTGACATGTACTCATCTAAAGTTTGCTTGGGAATCATAAACATAGAGAAATGGGGAAGGTGGGAGGGATAGCTAGATAGCGAGCAGACACATTTTTGGCTTTCTTGCACTGTAGAGTTCTCCGGGGCGATCTGTGAGTGTGAAGAGCATGGCTCTTGCTTCCTTTCTACCCATGTCCTCCTCAAGTAGGCCTGTACAGTATCCTCTTGACAGCTCGGTGCTACCCTCCTTTTACATTTCTCATATTTCCCTGTCCATTCTGCCTTTGTTCATCTTTTTCACTCCCCCCGTCTTCCTCTCAAGATGATTTCATGTGCAGTGGGTTCTCAGGGGAACCACAGAGAGAAAGGGGGACAGATTACCTTACAACAGCAAATGAGTAGCTTTGGCTTAAGAATGTGTGTGTGTGTGTGTGTGTGTGTGTGTGTGTGTGTGTGTGTGTGTGTGTGTGTGTGTGTGTGTGTGTGTGTGTGTGTGTGTGTGTGTGTGTGTGTGTGTGTGTGTGTGAGAGCCTCCGGGACAGGTCAGCTGGGACACACACATCATACCAGAGCCATGAGGACCGGCTGCTGGTCTGCCTTCTTGACAGGCCCCAGGTCTCTCAGACGGGACCAGGCCTTGAACAACCCTGGGTGCAGTGATGCTACTAATGATAGTTTGGTAGAGAGGAGAATAAGGAGGGCTACATTAAGGGAGGGGTCATGACTTTATGTCCACAGAGGGAACCGAGTCAAACCAGGGCTACTGGCGGAGCAAAGGGACCATGAATGACATATGGAAGGTAAAGGGTGCACACAGCGAGCTGTATGGATCCTAAAGAGAAGGGACTGTATGGGCCAAAGAACGAGGCCGGATTCAAGCTTCGGGGTTCATTTAAAGCCATGGTCTTATAAGGAAAGGACATCACATACTGGGGTGTAAGTGAGATACAAAGGACACATTTGCCTTCTAGCAATGCTAAGACAGAACAGGATAGCCAGGCAAAGGCATGTGGCAGGACACACCAGACCAGGGCTAATGAGCCCAGTCAGTGTGTGGTAAACACCAGAGCACAAGGTGGCGCTGGTAGGGGATGAAGAAAGGGACAAGGAGAGCGCTTGGAAGCTATGAGCCGCTGTTAAAAAGAGACATCCAAAGCAGAGTATAGAGCAGAGACTTTCCAGGTCTACTGATCTCATCGAGCTGATGGAGGTGAAGCATCAGGAATAAAGAGAGTTGGACTCAGTCCACCCCAAGGGAGTATTAGACAGCTATGTTCTCTAAACCGTGGTTGAGGGTGTGTGGGCCTTTGTCTGGTGGGTCCCTATAGTGCACGGCAATAAAACACACAGTGTACTACACACAGCAGTATATCACCAGCTTGACTGAGCTAATTGCACTGTGGCTCCCAAGCTGAAAAGTGTTTACTCATGTACTTCGAAGGGTTGTAGCATTACACTGTTTGGATGCACTGTACACTTTTGTTTAACATGGTTATCAAGTTGAATTAGGGAGGATTTGGAAATGATGAGTGTAGTGTCCAAAGGAAAAGAAGAAATAATGTGCAGGATAGCACCTGAGGTTGGTATTATAAGTGACGAATAGGCGAGAGGTCAGGGGTTAAGGGCAAGGTTTTCGGGGTGAGGTGGAGAACAGGCTCACAGATGGAAAGAGGAAAGATGGGAGAGTAGGGGAGGTGTGGGGAATGATGGCTTGTGATGATCAGAGTTATTTTAGACACTCCAAAGCATTATGGGACCTAAGAAAAACAGCACAACCACTTAAGACTCCAGAAACTGATTTGTACGAGCTACAAAAACACACTCGCAGGACCATTAAAGAAATACAACCCCTTCTCTTATCAGGACCACTATTGTTATAACCCCAACATTTAATTAGGAGTGTGAGCTACATTTGCTGAGGCAGCCACATTGGCAGGCATTTTATCACATCAAGCTTAATAAGTTAGCTGAGTGTTTCTGGCAAAGTTGCACTATTTCTTATTTATCTAGTTTCACAAATCATGTCCATCTTGAGAACACATTTTTCATATACCACAAACACATGATGGAATAATAAATGACAGAACCGTCCAGGAATCACATTCCTTATCTATGATGACATATGGCCTGTTCGGACAATCTTTCTTCCAAAACATGCCAGAAAATAAAGAGGTCATTTTGACTCACTGCTAAAATGAGATGTTGTATTCGCTGCCACTGTGTGTGTGTGTGTGTGTGTGTGTGTGTGTGTGTGTGTGTGTGTGTGTGTGTGTGTGTGTGTGTGTGTGTGTGTGTGTGTGTGTGTGTGTGTGTGTGTGTGTGTGTGTGTGTGTGTGTGTGTGATAGCTAGAGTGAGGTAAGAACACAGATTAACCATGGTTGATGATTAATACAACTTGACTTACTGAGAGCAATTATGGCCATGTCTTTTCTCAAGCTTGACTTTCTCACACTCACCATGGAACACATGGGGGTCATGAAACATGTGCGCACCAAGCACAGACACATACGCCACAGATCGCCAGCCCACCCTTCCGCTCAACCTCAAAACCACAAAGGGTTAAATATAATCAATCTTCTTTAACAATGCTGTCAGGGTACTGTCTCAGAGCGCTGACAGAAACACAGATAGTGACTGCTGCACGCTGATCAATATTTTTCTGTTGTGTGTGTGTGTGAGTGTGTGTGTCTGTATCTGTGTGTGTCTATGTGTGTGTGTGAGTGTGTGTGCGTGTGCGTGTGCGTGTGCGTGTGCGTGTGCGTGTGTGTGTGTGTGTGTGTGGGTGTCTGTGTGTGAGTGTATGTGCGTGTGTGTGTGTGTGTGTGTGTGTGTGTGTGTGTGTGTGTGTGTGTGTGTGTGTGTGTGTGTGTGTGTGTGTGTGTTTGTGTGTGAGTGTGTGAGTGAGTGTATGTGCGTGTGTGTTACCTGAGGGGACTTGTGGGATCTCCAGCTGTACTGGTGGCTGTGGAGGCTGGCCAGCAGCACGTTCTCATCTGTGTCCACCTGGCCGAAGCACAGCGTCTCGTGGGTGTCGTTACAGATCACGTAGTGACTGTACACCAGCTCCTCAGCCTGCGGGTTCCCTTTCTAAGAAGAAAACAGGAGAGTAGTGGATGAAAATAAAATAAGGGGAGACATGAGAAAAAGAGCTTGTGAATAAAAGAGTGTGCAAATACTTCCAGGTGTGTATATTTATGGTGGGAGTATAATGCACAGTATATGTGAAGTTTGAGTTTAAGTACGTTTACAAGTGTCATCAATGCATGTATTTTCAATCTTAAAAATGCAGCTGTCAGTCAGTAGGAAAAGGAGATGAGTGATTTCACCTGTGGGAGCAACACAACCTCAGAGGCAGAATGAATCATTTCTCAGCTATCCAGGCTAAAGCAGCTTACACTGGGTTTCAGGGCCAAACCTACCCCTCGGCCCCACAGAAAACCTCCAGCAGGCCTCTCTCTTTACCAATTATCAACTTTTTCACATCCTTTTTTGAGCGGCTAGATTTGTGTCCTTAGATAAATGGAATTCAGTTCAAAGGACAACTTTGTTTGTATGTGCATGGTTTTTCCTCACATGTTCTCAAAGCATGAAACAAAATGGGCTACCAAGCAGGCATTCCTGATCGTAACAGTCATCAATACAGTGTGGTTTGTTAGGAGAAAATAATACGATGGGAGCTGGCCCACCTACAGCAATGGGTCAAAGCCTCACAGAAAACTCCAGTCATGCGAGTGGTACAGGGATGCTGTCCACTCATACGTCACCTTGCATGCAAGAGCGAAGAGCTCACTGGCCTGCTATTGAAAACACTGCTTTGACAGGGAGAGGGAAAGTGTGTCAGGGCTTCTGTATACATTTCAGTACACAATTTCAAAACAGCACATAGTTTGCATGTGAGTTGGATAGCGAGGCTGCAAGTTTATGTTTAAGGTTTACTTGAGCTTCTTCCAAAGGCTCTCAGGCCCTGATGGGGTCTCTCCTGCACACCCCTCCCTGACTATTGACGCACGTGATTGTGGTTCAGAGAGCTTCTCAACAACTACTCCACTATCCTAACAAAGAGGGACCCCGGCCTGCTGTATACTTTTAAATAGCAGGGGGTTGATGGTTAAAAAAGGCTGGCAGTGAAAGCTCAGAGTTTGACTGCCAAGCACGTTCGGGGTTCAGGGGTTGTTGATGCTATTAAAAGCGGATGGGAAAGTTTACACCATTAAAACGAACACTTGATGAAAGATTTGAGAGAGAGGTAGACAGAGCAACATATAGACAGGACAGCTGCGACAGTGGGTTCAAATCCATTTCCAGTTTTATAGTGGAACACTATCTGTGCTGCCTTTCGAATCTGACACTGTGATTTACAAACTTCCTGCTGCCATCTTAAGATGCCGTTGTTAAGCCCACTCTTTGATGGTATGGTCTTTCTGCTCTGATTCATGAGGTAACATGATACACACATCAGAAAAGATCCCTGCAGTCATCATAATCACTCCTCGTCTATCCAAGACTTTAAGTGGACAAATATTAAGACAGAGATATTTAAACAGTCAACACGTCTTCCTTGTTAAAGAGCATAAGATGACAGCCTGTCCTTCAGACGCAGTCCTTCCAGGAATCAAAGGATCCATTTCACTAATCCACCCAGATTATATGACTTACATTGTCTAGCCCTGATCTGCGTGGTAGAGTGGCACATATAGAAAGGGCAAGGTACAGTCAAATGTCTGGAAAACCAATTGTAAATAATGACACCCACTCAAAAAAATACTCATGAAACAAGACGCCGTGGAGAAGATAATGAAACCTCCAAAAGGGACACAATAAAACAATAATCAGATCTACAATCACCTATATGTTCTGCTTTAGATGACCTTCGCCCACACATCTGCTACAAACAGGAACCTGATCTCTCTATCACTTTCTTTCCGGTTGCAAAAGAACATGGGACACACGGGGGGGAAAACAGGAGGAAAATTCCGGTTGTCTCAATTGCACATATAACAGTCTGTGAAAGTTCTGTGAGAACGCAGAGTGTGTAAATACTACTGGGCTTTTGTGTGGCTTTCCACTAAAGCCACTTCCCTGGGGTTAGGGGCTGGGGGAGAGAAGAAGGAAAGTGGGGCTAGGGACTGAGAATTGAAAAAGGAGACATGGGGCCTGAGGTTAGAGTGGTGGGGGGCTGAGGTTGGGGCCATATGGGGCTATAGAGTAAGAGGCACATGAAAATAAAGACAAAAATAATAGATAGGTCCTGGCCTGCCCACTGGGAGCAGCCATTTAATCAAAGTTTACACATACATCATTAATATCAATTGGTTTGTGGATTTCTTTTGGGCATTTTAGCAGCTGGCATCTTTGTTTTTAACTGATCCATCTTTGTTTTTTGTACAATAACTTATATCTATGTATGTATTAATTTGACAGGGACAATTCCCAGCTTCTCAGCTGAACCAGAGTTAGCTACAATACAAGCTTACTTCCATCTGTAGTCCCTAGGCTGGAAACATGACATCTCTGTTTGGAAAAGTAGCCATATTAGCACACAAAAACAGTACATATTCACAATGCACCAACTACATAGAGACATCAGCACATCACAACAACCACATTTAAGCAGCACAACAGCAACCACAAGGTTTCACAACATTGAAACACATAAAGTGTTTGAGATGTGAGATGGATACATGATTCGGTCGATTTTACCCTCATTTATTTGTTTAAAACCAGCAAGGCTTTAGCAATCTCGTGCACAACTTACTGAGCACCACATGTTTGTTGCTCTTATTATTATTGCAACAGACGTTTTGATCCTAACTCAGTTGGTCGGTGCTTTATTTGTTGGATGTCCTATTTGTCCTCTCATTATCTGAGTGCAGTTTTATGAACTCTTTATATAGGGAGAAGCTACATCATTGATGAGGTTGTACACAAAACCAGCATCAACAAAACACACACAGCTGTCAAAGGCAAGGATATTATACTTCTGGATGATGTTCACATGATGGTAACTTGATGGGCTTTTGTGCGGTGCCATGACTGTTTGTAGTGTGCAGTGAAGCAAATATTGTTTTCCAGCTTGTGATACAGTATGTGGTATGTGTGTCACATCATGCGTGTGCAGATCAAACATGTCTAAGGGTAACTTTTGGGGAGTTAACACAGAACAATTAAAAGTCATTATGACAACAGCGGGGTCAGTATTCCTTACTCTATCATCTGTTTTGCTTTAAATTAGATCATCGATTACAAAACCAGCATCATGCTGCATTGAGCAAGACTTCAATCTACAATTTGAGATCATACGTTCATTAGAAAGGTTGCTGCCTGAGAACAACTGGGAGTTTAGCATCTTGCTAAAGGTCACTATGATAGGAGACCTCAGATCCGCTCAGACCTGCACAGATCACCAACAAGGACTTGATTGGAAGTTAATGCTGAATGAAAGCACTGCAGTAGAGGTGAGAAAGAGGAGGAGAGCCTGCTTGCCTTGGAACACACTGCGTATCATAATAGATGGAATATACATTCTTCACATCTGTACTCATGACTGCCAGAAAGACCTTGGTGATGTTATCATGAGCAGTCCATGTAACCATAACGACTGAATATCAAAACATATTTTAGCTACATGAGAATAAATTACAACCATATAAGGAGAATGTCTTATTTCTATTTGTAGCTATGCATCTGGAAGTTGTCCAGCTGCTCTGGTTGCGGTGGTCTGGTACGACCATGTCTGGGATGTGAGGTTTCACTTGTGTGGTGGTGGAGGAATCTTCTCCACAGATCCACGCTGACCCGGCAGGCCACAACACAACGGGCCTGCCTGCCAGCCTTGACACCAGGAAACATGAAAATCACTGAAACAATTACACACGTTAGGTTACATCCTTCTGCTGCGGAAGGACAAAGCCTGTTAACATTTCCAACTGCATCTGATTACGTTTTCAATTAGGATCAAGTTTTTCTATGCATGTACAATGTGTGCATGAGTGTGTATGGAACGTAAGGCTCTGTCAGATCCAACATACATTTAAGCTCAACACGGAGGTTCTTTACATCGGCCCCTATAGTGCACCTCACCACCAGACAGATTGTGCTTAATCGTACCCATACAATGTTTTCTCACCACGTACCATTTTTTGTTTCAGTGAAAACCCCAAAAAGGAAAACATTATTGCACTATCTAAGTGTCCACAACTGTTTCTTAGGTGAACCAAATACTGGAGAAGAGTGTTTTAAAAATCAGCCTTTTGTACTTGACCTCTCTGTACCCCTACTCACACGCAGCACATTTGCCTTATAATTATGGTGTGTATTTTCCCCTTGTGTTCAGCAAAGTGGTAAAGGCTGGGCGTAGTTAAAAGGATCTGTACAAGTTACAAGGCTGTTGCTGTTTAGACCAATCAAGACAATACAACAAGCTTAATCATTTTATGAATCAATCCCATACCAGTGAAAGGTTTTGGTTTGAATGTGTAATGAACAAGTGAAGACTATTCTGTGTGAGTATGTGTGAGCATTGCATGCCTCTATTTTGGGTCTAATGAAACTGGTCCAAAATGGTATTAAAAAAGCCAAACATATCACCCACTATCAGAAAAACCTGGCAAAAATCACAAGACCAAATAATATCCTAGGTAATCGTGCATGGCATGTTGTGGATACCAACATATCCAAAACACTCCAGTAGAGCTGCATGACCATTCATTACAACAACACCATGCTTTAAAGTCTTATTTATGGCTCATTTAACCAGCAGAAATAGGGAACACTTTCTAGCTTGCCCTACATGATGCAATAATGAAGCCAATGGACAATTATGACCGAAATATCCAACTCAGTCGGTCAGCTTTGATGAGTCAATGATGCCACTGAGTAAAAACAAAGGTATTAAACTGCTAGCCAGAATAATCATTTTAAAATAGGTTTCCTATACAGCTTGTTTCATTTTATTTTCCACAGGTAAAAGACCACAGCTGTTCCTAGAAAAACACAATTTATGTCTTTCACATGGCAGTGAGAGTGTGTATGCATGTAAAACCATGAGAGTACCTCATGTCTCCAGAGGCCAGTATATGAGTCAGCACAGCCACAGCTGAGCGACCATGATAGGGCATACAAAGCCAGAGAGGCCAGGGTGTGTGTATGTGTGTGCAGTAGACAAGTGGGTGGAGGATCAGGGCCAGATGAAGTCTTGGCAGGTGTCACCACTCAAGTTTTACCGTGTTTTTAAGGGCATCACTTCACACACTAGTATCCTGGCTACTAGAGGCAGTGCTGAGAGCTGAGAACTGAGAGATGACGAGGACCACAGGACGGACGAGAAGCCCGGCAAAGACATACTGTAGCCTGTTAGTCAGAGCTTACAGCAAAGGGCAGTACCCTCCTGCACATTTTATTACCACTGGCATATAACCAAAACCATTCTCATGGAATCCACTCTGTTTGTTTAGCTGATACTCAATTTGACCCAATTTAACCATTTTGGCAAGTCGTCAAAAGGCAGATGCTCAGAAAAAGAGAGAGGAATGAGAAAGAGAAAACAATAACAGAATTGCAAGAGAATTTATGGCCAGGTATTTGGCCATAGGAGGGGTGGATTTAAAAAAAAGAAAGTGTTCTTTGGAGTGTGTTTGAATATAACGTGTATATAAAGGTACATCTCTGCTACCTGTTTCCAGCATTGCAGGGCAGTGTCCACAGTGTGGATGGCATACTGGCTGATATTGAGGAACACCGGATTCACAAAAACATTCACATCCAGTGAGGTGTCCTGGGGGCAATATGTGGCAGCAGCCTGGCCCTGAAAACCACAAGAAATGTAATTCCAACTTTTTTACACAATTCCTGACCAATGCTTTGATTTTTAAATGTTGAATTAGACAAACTAGCATAAATGTCTGAGCTCTACCTGTAGGACAACAGGCTGGAGGAGCTGCAGGTGTGTGAGGTTCCGGTACTCCAGCAGCTTGCAGTCTAGCTGGGTGGAGAAGCTGAACTCCTGACAGTGACGTGGGCCGTTGCTCCACTGGCGGAGGAAGACCCGCGGCTCCCGAGCACCAGTCACCATGAACTCTTGCTCCTGCGGTAACTTCCTGTCTGGCAGGAAGGGACGAAGTTGCCGGGATGGAACTGGAGGAGTGTGACAGAGGACCGCCATTAGAAACTGGACTGTGAGACATTTTTGATAGTACAAGGGAATAACAATCCGCAGGTCTCCCTTGAAAAAGAGATCGTTGATCTCAATGGGATTTTTTAACCTGGTTAAATAAAGGCTACAAACAAACAAACAAACAATCTTGCTGTGTTTGTAGCAGATCAATGGCAATGAGTAAACATGTGTTCAAGCTGTCCTCAGTGGACTGAGATAAATACAACCTTAGATACTAATAGATTATTATAAATTATTAGGAGTAATACGATTGAATAGCTAATTTGAGTGATGTTGAAAATAATGTAGTTTACACACTTCACGCTTCCAGTCCAACACAATCGGAAACATTCTATAAAGACCATGCACTCTTACACTACCTACTTATAATAAAGATCTGAAACTGTACATCTGGACCCTACCGGTAATCTGTTTATATTCTTTGGTCTCCTACATTTGAGTTGCATACATTGTATATACTTAGTATTTACACCCTCTGGTATCTTTGACTTTGATCTTCCCACTTTGTCACAAATGTCCTTCAAACGTATCTACAAACTCATGAGAGACTCTGTGACTGGGTATGTTCTTTCTTACCTGTGCCCAGCTGTTCTAGATGGTGGCAGAGGTGAACGTCCAGCTGTGCTAGTTGAAGGGACACACCCAGGGAGGGGACAAACCAGGGTGCAAAGCAGGAGTCCACACGGGTGCAGGCTGCCAATGCCATGGGAGAAACCAACTGATCGCAGGGCATCTGGGAGCCACTCTCACTGTCCAGACTGAAGGAAGAGCAGACACAGTCACACCCTCACCCATACACAGATCAATTGGTATTTCTGACTGTGAGAAAACAAACAAGTGAGCACTGAAAACAGTACAACTGCAAAGAAAACAAGTAATAGTATGAAAATAGTAAAGACAACAAGTAAATGCATTCTGTGATTATAACATGATTTCATAGGAAAATCATAATGGAGAATATAAGGAACATAGGACCATGCTTTGACAGTTCAAAGGGAAAACATAATAAATGGTTATTTATTTTCCATCAAACTTATATAAAAAGCATGAGCCAAGCTGTGGAATATTGGCCACACAAAATGAACTCACTAATACAAATAATATGATTTCTTAGAATTATTTTTGTCTCTTGCCCAGTGAGTTACAAATTGTGTGACATCCTCGCCAGAAATGTACAATGAGATAAACGCTACAATTATATTATAGAGTATAATATGGAGTGGGCCTCCTCGCTGTCCGTCCCAGGCTGTGAGTTTAGGTCCATTATTACTGCCGCAGTTTCCAGGAGAACCTCTCTATGGACATTAATTGCATGTCATGGTTGATGAAGTTGAATGGAGGGTAATTGAAGTGAATGACCATTTGCTCTGTAATTTGCTGCTACCATGATCCACCATAAAAACTCCAGCAGGAAACGCTCAAGACCTGAACAACGCTGGTGCAGCAGAGTGCTCCTTAAAAAGATAAGCATCATATGTTGACAATTTTCATTACTTCCAGTTGGCAGGGCAGCCAAGTTATTTTTCTGGTGGAAACTAAAGTAAGGCAGATGAAACAAGCGAGTAAGGAAAAGGGAATCAATTTTGATCTAAAAAGACAAATAATTTAAACATAAAGGAAATGTAGTGTTTGGGCTATGATTGTAATGAAGCACAGATGTATATTTGCTCCACACTGTATCTGGTACTGTACACTTTTTTCTCAGTTACTTCCCTTACATGTTTTCTTATTCCTCCCTTTTTAGCTCGCTAAGCCACACAGAATGTGGGCTTGGCAATACTCTTTCACTAGAAGTTCCTTTAATCCCGAGAGTCAAAAAGGGGGTGGACATTAAGCTGAGAAAGAAATGAAAAGAATACAGATGCAAATGAAAAATGGGTGAAGCACGGAAGAGAGGAAAAGAGGAGGCAGTGAGAAGGGAGTAAAAGGTGTTTCAGTCCCACGTCAACCTATCCAAACCGAGGACCTTATGAGCCAAACCAAAGGGGGCTTCACCCCTCTCGCTTCCCGTGAGCTTCCACACAATTAGATACACTCAAGGTAAGCAGGAAGGAATCCGGATGGGCCCTGACAGGCACTTGGTGTGCTGGGAAATCTCATTAGGCCGATCTGAACGCCTTCCAAGCCCGCTCCCTGCTCCTGCACACCAGATGTTGGGCGAGGGACACATTGCTCGCTCTTTGTGCTTGGCGGCCTGGGTGCAGATTTTTTCATATACAAGCATGCATAAAACACACACAGATACATTGAAGCACAGAGAAACAGTACAGGATGAATTCTCCCCACCTCTGCTCATCTCCTCCCTCTCCATTACTGTTGAGGACTATCCTCCACAGGTCAGAGGCCACCAGCTCCTTCTGCTTCTCTGTCAGGCTGAGGCTGGGCAGCTGCAGCTGGCAGGCCCGGCTCTCTGAGAGGCTGAACTCCCGGTACGGAACAAAGGCCTGCTGGAGCTCGTCCCAGTATTCTAGGCTGCATGGTACCTGGAATGAAAGACACAGTGAACAACTTGTACATGTGAGCCCAAATATGTATATCATTTATTTGTGAATGCATACTTTTCATCCTTATATGTAGCATTAGTATTAGACAATCAACATTGTGGCAGAATGTTTGATTTGACTGTCAAGTATCCGTAAGGTTTTTTCATTTGCTGTGAAAACACAGTTAGAAAGATGGACACAGACTAAAAGTTTTCTTCTCTAGAGAGCTTGGAAGAAATGTCAAGGTATGGCTTACTTGGAGACTTTATGAGGACACAAAGAAACACAAATGGATCACACCAGTCCCAAGGGCAAATTGGGGTCAGAGGCATTCATTGTTAATTTACATATAACATATGTAATAATATTATATGGGTGGGGGGGTTGCATTTTGGGGTTTCACTGAAAATAAAGGTTCTACTGAAACACTAACTCTGAGCTTTGTTTCCTACCATGTGATCAGATGGAATTCTTTGAAAACAGTTGCCTAATATTTGTATACTGTATATCCTCACTTAATGTCCTCTACAGATGGACACCAATGGTTTCTTACTATACTATCCCTCAATTGTTCATCATGTTAACCAGAGGCTCCAGTCCATGTAAACAGACTCCTCCTCAGAGTATTCCTAATTACTCATCAGCAGCAGGATTACTGTAAGGCTTTGTTATTGCACAACAGGTACTACTTTAGTCCTATGGATCCCCCAGTTACACACACTGTATTTAGCAACTGCAGTCGTCTGCTAATCATTAAGCACAAGTTTAAGCAGTCTTTGAAGACGCGGGGAATCCCCATCTTGGAGAAGGAGTGAGCAAGTGATTTTTTATGGTCACTGTATTCCAGTCGTACATTTGTCTTACTTCAGACAAACCAATCTTGAGTTTTCTCATACAGTCGGAAAAAAGCGACAACTCTTTGACTGGAGACCACCAACGCAGCGAGACGACAATTCATCACCAATGCATGACCACAGCATAACTAAACAGCGGGCAACTGTAAGCTACACTGAGGCCATTAGCATTGAAGTCCTGGAGCTGTTTTTCACACTGAATAACAATCAGCTGTGTGAGTGTTCACACATTGCGAGACGACTGGTGAGCTCCATTGATTCCTCTCATATTGTGCCAAAATTAGCATAAATGTGTCTGGTGCTCCTGTGTGAACTAAAACAGGTTCTCAGGTTCCCCCCAACCAGCCGCTGATGGATCAGAGGTGGCAGGAACTTTTGGCTGCACACCTTAAGGATGCCTGGCAGGAAGTGTGTGTGTTTGTGTGTGTGTGTGTGTGTGTGTGTGTGTGTGTGTGTGTGTGTGTGTGTGTGTGTGTGTGTGTGTGTGTGTGTGTGTGTGTGTGTGTGTGTGTTTGCTTGTTGTGGAAGGTAGTGCGACAATCCAATTGTTTACCTGAAATTCCGAGCTCCCTGGACACTTACCATCTCGTGCAACAAGTTAGTGTGTGGGTATGTGCAAAGCTTCGTGTGTATGTGTCTGTGCATTCATATGTGTGGGGCTGTACTGTAAAGGGGCGGATGCATTAGGTAACTGTAGCATCATGTAAGAAATGCCACTCAGGTTTCCTGGAATCAGCTTCTCATAATTGTACCTGACAGCGCGGTGCACCCGCAACCCTGACGCTGAGCCACCGGAGCGGAAACTCACTGAATCTCCGCAGAGAATTCCCACAACTGCGTTGCCAAAACACAGAGGGTGTTTTTCTTTCACCTGTGATATTCTATACAGATGACGGCATACAGAAATGATTATGTGAGGTACATATATGGTACAGTGGAATACATTTGCATGGTTGAATTTGCGTCATGTTCCCTTTGACTTGCGATGGCCTTGGAGGAGATGAAATCGATAACAAGCTCAAAAATGTTGTAGGGTTGATGGAAAAAGAAGAAAAAGGAAAAACTAAACAGAAATAGATTTGAGCTATGTTGAGTTGTGTGTCTAGAAATTGCTTTTTGGAAGAGAAGGCACCTATTTACATTTCCAAGAGGAAGCCGTATGTATAATTGTATGTATGAAAGACAATATGCGTGTATACATATGTGTATACACAGGTGTGCGTATGTATGTGAGCGCATGATACAGTCTAGGCAGTGTTGGTTTCCGCTGCCTGATTGTGTGTGTACCTTATCTGATAAACAACATGTAACCCTGAATAGCTGACATTCCCTTGGCTGGAAGGATCCAATCTGTGTTTTGCTTCAGCACCAGTCAAAGTATGCCTGGCAGTTCACAGCAAAAAATCCGCTTGAGGACTATCTATACATGTTATCTAGTTTTTGAGTCAAAGTTCCACTTGAGAGGTGTTTCAAAAGTGTTCAGTAGTTTCAATAATTACAACTATTTACAAATACATTTAATCCAGAACTGTTGCATATACAGTACAGATCCGATTTCCATTTCTGTCACCCAAAAACAATAAATATTATTCTGCAAGGAGTTTCTTTTGTGAGACTGACCAATCACAGTTTCTTTAAAAGTTTAACTAAAGTTAGAGTCACAACAATCATTTCAATTTCCTGGTGTGATGACTGCTAGAGTTTGTTTCTGCAACTGAAGACTCCCCGGCCCCCCTCTGAGGCCCCGGCTGCTGCTATTACTTTTATTAACAATATCCCCACTTCTATTAGGTTTTCTGTTATTTCACTGATGCCTATATGTCTACAAATTCCACTGCTAGCTACCTCTTATCAGTCAGCAGACAAATTGAATTGACATCGGCTTGAGCAAATGTTTACTCAGGAGATGTAATGAAAATTGTTCTGAAAATGACTCCTGCTATGCTGTCTCAGGTGGGCTAATATGCTGAGATCTTCACTTTTTTCTTCCTTTCGGCCAAACTTTTTAAAACGAGGGACTGAAGTTTTGGTGGATGAGGTGTAGAAATTGCAGATCAAATTAACAACATGGACAGCCTCTTATTTGTATAGTACGTTAGCTGTGACCAACGCAGGTCTGCTCTAGTACTGTCCTGCTACAATAATAGTTATCTTGGCTAAGTTACAATCTTTCTCTTTCTGGTTCAATGGGCCGTTGTGAAGAGAACTACCCACGGACTCTCCCCAGTTTTGTACTCCCGACAAAATTGCATTTTCTTTTACTAACTGGAAAAAAAACATGCATCATTAAAAAAGGCAGAGGAAGCAAAGCTGATGGACCTGTGTTTCTCATAAAAACAATGAGAAAAAACAACAGCTGCAGCGGCGGTTTGGACTGGAGGTTGCTGGTTCATCTCAGGCCATGGAGCTTTTATGATATGGGTCGCAGGCCAGCAGGCCCTGATGGCAGAGCCCTGCTGGGACATGAAAGGCTATCCCACAGTGACATGCACGAAAGCAACAGCAGGGGAGCAGATGGCCCGATGTTGATGATGTTTGTCTGAGCCTTTTTTTGCAGCTGCCCAAACAGCGAGAGCATGATCAATTTCCTACATTTGCATAGTGAAAAAAATACTAATATTACTGAAACGAGAATGTGTGTGAGGACAAACGGAACCGAGGACTTTTGTCCGACTATATGCTGCGTCTCAGCTCAAGTTTGGCTCTCCTCTTTAACAGACTGTATCTCCTCTCGTGCTCCCTGAGCTGAATCACGGCTCCTGTGTTTACTCCCTGTTTCTCAGGCTTCACAACTCCACAGAGAGGCAAAGGAGGAGCAGACGAATGAGAGGGATGGAAAAAGATCAGTAAGGACACCTGCTTATGATTCAGAGAACTGGACCACACGGCAGTGAGAAGGTGAGAATGAGTCACCTTCCTCTCTCCCTCTTTTCCTTCATCACTAGGGCCCTTTACAGGCGGGAACCTATGGATGCTCCATCATGCATCTGTCCTTTGTAAGCTGCCCCTCCAATCACTCTGACATAGTTCCCCTTTCTACTGCATGTGAAAACAGCTCGGGCAGCAATTTGACTATGAGTAATGGTAGAAGGCTTGAATTCCCCCTCTGAGATACTGGAACCAGTTGGGAAACCACATCTATTTAAAAGCAGGAAATATTGATTTTATAAAATGTTAATATGATCTGCTCTGGGGACAAGGGGCAGCATTGCTCAGAGAAAGAAGTCCCCCCACAACCCCAGCTCCATCTATTCAGCAGGGTGGAGACACAGAGCAAATGAAGGGAGGGGGGGAGTGTGACAAAAGTAATGAGAAGAGAGAGAAGAGGAGGAGGAATAGAATGAGGAGATGGAGAAAATGTGGAGAGAGCTACTTATACTTTGTTCACCTCCAACAAACCTTTCCACAGCCCCCTGCTGGTAAACAAGCTCGTCAGAAAACAAAAGCTCAATGCTCACTCGCTCTATACTCCTCATTTCTTTTTCTGGCCCTATAACTCTCAAAACGTTCAACCTCCATCTCCGACTGTCCGTCTGTCCGTCTGTCCGTCTGTCCGTCTGTCCGTCTGTCCGTCCGTATGTCCGTCTGTCCGACTGTCTGTCTGTCTGTCTGTCCGTCTGTCCGACTGTCTGTCTGTCTGTCTGTCTGTCTGTCTGTCCGTCTGTCCGTCTGTCCGACTGTCTGTCCGTCTGTCCGTCCGTCTGTCCGACTGTCTGTCTGTCCGTCTGTCCGTCTGTCCGTCTGTCTGTCTGTCCGTCTGTCCGTCTGTCCGTCTGTCCGTCTGTCCGTCTGTCTGTCTGTCTGTCTGTCTGTCTGTCTGTCCGTCCGTCTGTCCGACTGTCCGTCTGTCTGTCTGTCTGTCCGTCTGTCCGACTGTCCGTCAGAACAGTTTTGGGGGATTGTGATGCTGCCTTTCCGTGTTCTGTTGCTGGACTTTGTGGTCTCGGGGGAAACACAGGAAACATATCAGTAGAGACATTGGACGTTTGGTAGAAGGGAAAGAATCATTATTGTATGCAGGAGGCTGACATCAGTTCAATCTGGGATCACTACCACTTTGGTCCTGTTCAAATATCCCCTGGCCTTACACAAAATATGCTTATTATTTATATATAAGATATGTGAGTGTTTGCACAAAATATGAGGTAAGAAGGAGTGTGTAACATATCTGTAAACTGATCCAATGTCTTATAATGACTTTACAATCACTCCTTTCAAAAAGGCCATGATACATGATACTGTTTCTAGCAGTGTTGACAAAATGCATCACGGTAGCTTTCAACAATGGATTTAAGCCAGTCTGGCATTTACACTTGGTAAATGATGTTTTTCATGACGCTACCAGCAGTTCCTTACTGCTGCGGGCCAGAGCTTTCTATGAGAGGACATTGCATTTCTTTTCTAAATACTGTAGATGCTGACTTAGTCTACACAACTGTTCATACTGTTATCTTTGCTCTTAATAGTAATGGCTCCTCTTTAAATACTTAGCATGTATAGCTTTTGTCTACAGACAGAGTATCTCACCCCGCTGCATCTTATCCCCACATCAAGTGGTTTCAGGGAGCATGGAGCCTCCTCTTCTCAACACCTCCCCATTACCTGATTCCTTTTAACAGACTCGTCAGAAAAGACCGGAGCATGCCAGATGGGTTGAGGAAGAATGGAGCAAAAGATGGGAAAACCACATGTTCATCAGCCAGTGATTCCTCATCTCCTGCTGTGTAATACACACTCTCACAAAAATGTCCGCAGTCGCACGCATCCATTCTTATTCACATAGATATCATAGTTTATCAGCTGCTGGAGAATCATATCTCCCCTGGACTATAGGAAGTGTAACCTTCATGTTTGGCTATCTTCAGCCTTTTTGGATTCTCCTCTCACTCCATATCTATCAATCTCTCTTTCTTTCCCCTCCTTCTTCCTGTCAATCTACTCCCAGTAACCATCCCCTCCCTTTTACTACTCTGTCTATCACTGCCTTTTCCTCTAACCCTACCTCTGTTCTCTACTGTAACTCAATATGTGGCCAATCAGTGGGAGCTCTGGAGTTTTCTCATTACAGACTTTACAGCTGTGGGGCCTGGTAAAGAAGCCAAACATCTGCAGCACCTTCCAATATCTTGTCTCTCCTGGGTCGACATAAACTGACAGAAGAGAACATCTGTACTCGAGCTGAAATGATTGTGGGAGTCCAGAAAATAATCTGAGAGATAAAGGGAGGATATGATGATACGAGAAACTTCCCCTAAAGATGGAGGAAAGATGCAGAAAGAAAAATGAGAGGGAATGAAACCCAACCCTAATGCTTAAGAAATGTCATTAGAAAGTCCTTAGAAATGGACTGGAAATGTAATCAGTCTGGCTACTGTCATTCATTTCAGGTTAATGATATACCATCAACAGAATACTTGAATTGTTATAAATACTACATCGTAAGCACAAGAGTCAAGAGAAAAAGCTTCATTATGCTGAATGTAACAACTATGCCATGCTTGAAGTCATTCTTACTGGTTATTATGAAATGTCATGTACAGTGGCAGAACTTCAGTGTTAGTATTATTAGATCTCAGTGCTGCGTTTGACACTGTTGACCACAACATATTACTAGACCGACTGGAAAACTGGGTGGGACTTTCGGAAACAGTTCTAAATTGGTTTGAATCCTACTTAAAGGACAGGAAAAACTTTGTTTCCATAGGTAAATACACATCTGAGTTGACAAATATGACATGTGGGGTACCTCAAGGCTCCATCTTGGGGCCTCTTCTCTTTAACATCTACATGCTACCACTGGCTCAGATAATGAAGAACAACAAAATAAGTTACCATAGCTATGCGGATGACCCACACATTTACGTAACAATTTCACCAGGAGACTATGCTCCAATTCAGACATTGAGTAAGTGCATTGAACAAATCAATGACTGGATGTGTCAGAACTTTCTCCAATTAAACAAAGATAAAACTGAGGTAATGGTTTTTGGAGCCAAGGCAGAACGTATAAAAGTTAGCGCTGAGCTTCAGTCTGCAATGTTCAAAACAACAGATAAAGCCAGAAATCTAGGTGTAGTCATGGACTCTGACCTGAGTTTCAACAGTCACATTAAAACAGTTACTAAATCAGCCTACTATCACCTAAAGAACATATCTAGGATTAAAAGACTAATGTCACAGCAGGATTTGGAAAAACTTGTCCATGCTTTTATCTTCAGTAGACTGGACTACTGTAATGGTGTCTTCACAGGTCTCACTAACACATCTATTAGAAAGCTGCAGCTGATTCAACTCTTACTACTTTTAAATCCAGGCTGAAGACTTTTCTTTTTGTCGCCGCTTTTAATTGAACTATTCACATCTTAAACTGCACTGTAACTTTTATCCATGTATTTTTTCTTTTAATATTTATTTTATTATCTTTTCTTTTTAATGATTTTAAATGCCATTTTCTTAATGTCTTTCATTTTTTGTAAAGCACTTTGAATTGCCTTGTGTTGAAAGGTGCTATATAAATAAACTTGCCTTGCCTTGCCTTGCCTAGAGCTGTATCGCAACATCTCATTTGTATCCATCCGTGGTTTACATTTGAGTTTCAGTATGAAGGGCTGCTTCACAGCTTCTGCAATCTAAGTGACTTTAGAAGACCTTCTCATACATAGATCAATGTTACAATGAAATCAAAACCACAATAAAAACAGAAATACAGTCATATCTGACTAGACAAAGTGAATTATAGCTGTAAAACTTGAAATAAATAAACAGCTCAAGGCGTGTCTGAAGTTATAACAATGTCAGGGAAATGTCCCTAATTTCGGCTCCAGGAAAAAAGAAAAACATGGAGGAGGATGGGAAAGAACGTGATTTGGGACCCAGCTTGCATTGAAGTTGGAAAGTGAGGTGGTGGATAGAAAGGCGGAGGATGAGTGATAGGAGGAAAATGGGATGTGCTGACCCCCACTGAGGCCCTGCAGACTCAGTAGCTGCTGAAGTCTGCCAAATTATAACCTCATCTGGGGTGAGGAACACCTGGCTGTTCACACCAGAGCAGGCCAGATGACTTCCACAGCTGTCTGAACATGTATTACATGTTGGAGGGACAGCAGGGGTCTCCATCATTCAATAACACATAGGGTATGGACGTTCTCATGACTCATGTCATGGGAATTATAATAGCCCTCAGTCCAACTCTTAGACAGTTTATTTCTCTTTCATTGCAGGTGATGTTAAGCAGGGATCAGATTCTCATCTCAGTTTATACTTCTTTTAGCAAAATATGTATTTATTCACAATATGCTGTCTGTTTGGGATGGAATCATTTGGGAATATAAAGAGAAGAGGAACTGGACAAACTTGTATTTATTACCTGGAGGGCGTCCCCCAGGTCTGCAGTGCTGATCTCCGGGTCCTCAGTGGTGTTAAAAGGGACAGGATTGATCCTGACGAAGGTAAGGACGCGGGGCTCAGGGTACCTCCACAGCATCACCCCCGGACTCTCCTCCGTCTCGCTGCAGAACACCACCTCATGGGGGCCAGGCAGTCTCTGGGAGGCTGCCAGAGAAGAGGAATTGACAATAATATCAGAATAAAGTTACTTTATTCGGGTCAACTATCTAAAATCTAGATGCCATGCTTTATAGGCAGATGTAAAAAAAACGAGTCGACAGATAGAGATGATGATGAGACAGACAATCTTATAGTATCATACCACTCTACTTCAACACTTTTCTATCAAAATGACTCAGTGTAAAAAAAAAAAACCTAACTTTAACTTTGGCCTATTTCGTCTATGGAATTTGAACACCCCAAAACAATGTCTGCTAAAAGAGCACTGTTGATGTTTGCACGCTTTCGGCATGTTTATATGCATAAGAATACTTCATAAACGCGTGGCTGAGTAAACATTTGGGCTTTTGATTAAACAGCCACTGATTGAACCATGCATAGCACCTGTAAAAGCTGGTGAACACTGAATCTTAACTTCTGAGTGGTGTTTGACTTAAGTCGTGGCTGCTGTTTGGGAGTCCTTTGGAAAAAAAATTATTTGAAAAAAACCTGTGAGGCAGAGAACTGCTGCTTTGTTTGACCCCTGGAGGCACAAACACTGAGAGTCTCCTTCCAGAAAACACATTTCAAGGGGCAGCCAAATCTGTCTGTGGCTAATTTCTCCCTTTGTGTGACGCGCCCAGTGGAAGGTGGACGGCGCATTGTTCTTGAGCAAAATAAAAGGAAGGATGAAAGGAAAAACCGACACTTTCATGAGGTTTTGCTTTCTTTCCAGTTAAAGTTTGGAAAAGTGAGAGACAAGAACAGAGACTCTTCTCTCTACTCTAACCATCTTTCACCCCCTCATCTGTCCATCTATTCCATTCATCCCTGTGTCAGGCCCCTGGGGGCCACTCGCTGTGCTCTAGCTGCTGACAACATGTTGCAGACAGATTGTGCTCTCTCTTCTAGTTCACTACTGTACGTTCTCTTGCTTCAGCCAGCATATTAAATGCATCAAAGCGCAGTGGAACAGTGCAACAAACAAAGACTCAACCACAGCTGACAGAGTGGACGGCTGGTCTACAGCCAGAGAGGAGTTTGATCCTGTGTATAATGTTGCTGTGTGCGTATGTGTGTGTGCATGTAGAGAACAGCAGACACAAGGCACAAAGCGGGGGGGATAAACAGCATGTTACTCAGAGTGGAACCAGGCAGACATGTCCGATGAAACTTCTCTCAACAGAGGGCTTTGATCCGACTTTGATTTAAGGCGATGTGTATCTTAAGTGACATCTCACTTTGGAACACAGATTGCTTTTTTGGTTTGAACCAACTTAGTTATATGAAGGATTGACCACGGTCACAGTTCATCCCGGATTCAGGATTCTTATCTTATCAAGAAAGAGCAAAATATAATATGTTTGGCTAATACTATTATACTGAGTCTTGGATAATGCGTTTTTTGTCAATAAAGCAAACCAAACTTTTTATTTATGGAGTCGGGGCTACCGATGGACATGCATTGAGGAGCTGTCCTGAGCAATGAAAGTTTAAAAAAGCAATCCTGTCACTTGAAATATGATGTGGATGCTTAGTGGCCAATGCTTTACCTAGATCTGGAGCTTCTGTGATGCAAGAAAAATGTAGACTCAATCTGACAATAAAGTATTATCGTATCATATCATAGATTGAAGTCAAACTACACCGTCAGCCCTGCTGCAAGAGATCAGCACGCACTGTATGAACATTCACCTGAGTTCTGCATGTACTGAAAATGTCCTGTTCGCAGGTCATCTGAGCTGTGCTCTGTCCTCGGAGAGGGAGCACCGGGGGAGGGAGGTGGCTGGATGTGGCAGGCCTTGCCCTTGGAGCAGCTATCAGCTGATTCTGTAACTCTCTGGAGGTTCAGGTAGGCCTGCAGGTGCTCCTCTACTAGCTTCAGGCAGCTCAGATGTTCCTGACCCCAGAAGACCTGTCAGACGGGGATAGAGAGGAGACAGAGGGAAGTCAACATGAAGGGTAAAGTTATTGAGACAAAAAGAGTGAAATGCATTAATATGCATTAATACCTACGTTGAAAATAATATAACATTCTACAAGAGCAGCAGTCAGGGTTACCTTCATCATTACGCCTTCACATCCTTTCTAACATTGCCCAACACAGCCTCACATCCTCCTCGCTACCCGCGGCATTCCCCTTCCTGTGATCAATCAAAGCCAGTCTGCCTGGGGTTTGGAATCAGAACCAGGAATCTCTGAGTCAAAAGCTCTTCACACATGGAGCTGCCTGCCTGCCCGCTACTCACTGGCTTGGAAGGGTGGGTTATGACTAAACTCTAAAAACAGGAACGTTTGGGGATTTTTTTCCCAGATTTTTGGAAGGATAGCACGAGAAGAAGGAATCGGAAGGAATTCTGGTGGTTTTTATACAGCACTTGATTAAGACACCACAAACGGCAATATTTACAATGGGTAATGTATGATTACGTATTAAGTGTTGAGTTACGAGTCATGTTCCTGTTAATGGGCACGCAATAAAAGCATTAAGGAAATCATTGAGGGGAGCAGTACGGGGTTTCCCCTGAAGAAGTGATGTGGAATAATACATTAGTAATAATGCGCTCAGTCACATTGAAAAGGGACTTTTCAGTGTGGACGTTATGTAACTCGTCAAAGGAAAAAAAGACACATATAAGGTATAACCCTCCCTACAAATAGCCTTTAATATTCCACCACTTAAGCAGAGATGTGAGTCAAATCTTTGGTGGAACTACAGCAGGCAATCTCTGATGTCAGCACTGCAGCTGCAAACAGGAGGGGAGCAGAGTCATAGGGAACAGGATGAAAAGAAGGGTGTTCGGGCTATGTTTGTGGGGTCAGTTTATGAATACTGTAATTATTCATTTGGAAAAAAAGGGGACTAAAACTGAGGTTTAAGAGTGATCACCTCGTGATTGGCAGCTGTGGAGGCTCACTCACACCCAGGGGTTCACAGTTGTGTCCTAGAGCAAGATGTGTAGTGTGTAAAGGTGCTGATCCGACCCTGACCTCTGGACACTGTAGCAGTTCTGGGTGCCACATCCTCTGACTAAGGATGCCTAATTGATGTCATGGGTATACAAACCTGCAGTAGGCCTCCCTTTAGGTCCAGCAGCAGTTTAGGGGGGCCAGGCTCCAGGCCAGGGCTGCCGCTGTGCCGACACCAGCGGGCCTCCAGAGAGCTGCTGCAGGAGAAGGGCCCCAGCAGGACCCGGCCCCGCTCCTTCAGGCCGGTCCTCAGCAGCAGGTCTTTCAGCTGCAGCTGCATAGATGCTGCCTGAACTGCATCTGGGAAGACAGAAGGAGTACAAATCAAAAAATGAACAGGAGTATAAGTAGGTCAAATGTCCTGTCATTGATACCCTCAGTGGTTTGTGTATCGAGTAGCGGTTACAAATTGATTGATACAAAGAAGAAGGAAGGAAGGGGGGTTAAATGATCTGAATAAGGTCTTAAATGAATAATAGTTTTGAAGGGAAATATGAATATATTGACATAAACACTAACAGAGTTTATTGATACAAATACAACCACACCAGATAAAACTGAAACACACAAACAATTCAACCTCAACATTCACTTTCACAAATACTCTGCTTTTGTACTAAGTTCAACTACCACAGTCAAGTAGCAAACATACAGCATGACTGCATCAAGCATCTAAATGGCCTCCAAACTACAGTACTCATTTGACCTTATTGACATAAACACTTTTCCTTTTCAACAATGTGCATCTTAAAGCCTGCGTTGGCGTTGATGTTTTTGAATGACTGGATAGATGACTCATAAAGAGGCTCATTTTGAGTGGCCTGGTGATGAGAAATGTAAACAACCATCAGTTAATAAGAAGAGCTGTGGAAGTGTATAGATTCTAGTTCAAATGGAAGGGGTTTCGGTGATTTGGTAAACTAAAAAGGACAGCATTCTCTGTCCTTTCCATCAAAGCACTGTTGTGAACTTGGTCTGTTGGTCCCATAAGCCAGTGGACAGAAATCCTTTCTAGCCGTGGTTGACATTAGGAGGGCTGATCTGGTCACCAAGAGCTGAAGCAGCAGCCCATGGAAACTCAACCCCAGATGACTAATAATGCCCTGAGAAGTAGCTCTTTGCAAACGCACGTTGACTATAGAATGTCTCACTTCTGTCTGGTCGTAAGTTCGGGAAAGAAAAAGAAAATAGCGACACACCCGCTTCAGTACCCAAACCTATGTACAAACGTTACTACTTTTTAATTGGTTGACCTTAACAAGTCAACAGTATTGTAGAATAAGGACGAAAGTGTTTCTTTAAACACTGTAACAAGCAGAAGATTCTATATACTACGACAAAGGGTAAGCATCTGTTAAACATTACACCCAGAAGTTTTTATATAAAGTAAAAATAATGGTGAACATATACAAGCAAAACACAGCTTGCCAACTCTATCATATAATTTGCATTTATCTTTTTGTTATTTTCTATAGATAAAGCACCTGACAGCTGTTTTAATTAAAAAAAGTTCCCATTATATTATTCTGTCATTTCAGGTCTGGACAACAGTGTGCTTAGGGTTCACTTGGGGTAAAGCTGGATAGATGGAAGAGATGGAAAGGCATATGAAGGGAGTGAGGAAAGTGATGATAAATGAGGAGACACATAGAAATAGACATGGAGGGAAGGAGATACAGACCCAGGGTGTGAGAGCGAGAACGCTAGGGTTCGATGGATATGACACACAAGCATCCTCACATCCTTTTAGGCTTGGTAACAACATTAAAGTGCAATCACACAACAGGGGAGTTCCAATGAAAGAGGGCTTAGTTGGTGTAAATCATTTCAGTGGAAATATTACACTGGGATGACTCATTTCTCTAAGGAGAGACATTGTTGATATGATCTGGCAGTTTACCTGCTAATCTCTTCTGGTGTTGCAGTGCAGAGAGGGCTGCTAGAGATTTCTAACTGAACTGTGGACATCGGCTTCATTTTCATGGCTAGGATCTATTAGACTGCACATTGGAACAACCAAAGTGGCCTGTTAAATGGAGTCTTTCATCAAATGGAGGATCTTTCATACGGATAAAAGGAGAAGCAAGCACATGTACAAAGACACATACAGGTCAGGATAGGCAAACATTTACATACATACACATGGAGATGGACAACCATGTACAGTACACCTAGGTAAACACACCATGTACACCAAGGTGAACAAGTGGAAACACACACACAATGTGTATCAAAGCATTCTCTCTCGTCTCCCTGCGTCATTGACTGCCACGCTGACCACAGCTTCCTTGTGCTAAAGCCAGCAGCAGCAGCATCACCCTCATTGAGAGTGGTTTTAATAAGGGGGGGGGGTCCCTTTCTTTCATCTCTAAATCCATTCTTCCATCCAGGCTGAGAAATAGTCAGAGGCACATTTCTCCATGCTCTCTCCAGCCCTGCCTTTGCCCTGTATGACCATAGTACTGCTTTTTAGGTTTGTTTCCAACAATGTGTCAGCAGACAGCCCAAACACATTACACTGCTGTGAAGTAGTGCCATAAGAAGGGAGGAGAGGAGGAAATGTTAATGGGAAAAAACTGAGCAGGGAAAGCATTGAAGGGTGAGTCAGGGGGTACCTGTGAACCTGTTCAACCTACAGGGAGTCCGTAACGTTTACACATATAATTCACATATAAACCAGTATATGAGAGAGGAAGGAATAGCATGACTGGAGAACAATAAAGGTGGAGTTTAAACTTTTTAAAGAATCTTCACCTTGATCACATAGAGGCCAGTGGAATTATCATCCAATCACAATTTCTAACCATATGATGCAAAAACTGACACACACCCACCCACACCCAAATCAGCACACACACGTACACCTCTGCATATATCTCAAGCCCTCCATATAGAACTGCCAGTAAAGCAGCACATCTTTCAACACCCAGGGAACAAAGTGGGTGGGGCGGATAGGATGGATGGAAATCTTTCGAAATAAAATATATTTCTGGCAAACGCTTGGGTAAGATTAGATAAGATCGGAGACATTGATTTACCATGTCGGTTTCTCCCTGGCAACCGTTATCTGACCACTGCTTGGCTGATTGATACTCTGGGATGCACTGGTATCAATTAGAAGAACCCTAAAGGAGTCATTACCTAACTAGCTGTGGTCCCCAAAGACTGTCTGGGATGGTAAGAGTAATAGAAGTAATATACTGCCACTCACCACAGAAATACACCACAAGACCACTATGGGACACTAGAGGAAACTGGTTTGGTAGCAGGGGACAATGTCGGCCGACCTGGCTCAGTGCAGGCAGCAGTGCGTCATCCAAACACTGACACACTGACTGAGGAGTGTTGATGACTTCCATCTGCTTCAATGACAGTTGCAACACATCAGCAAACCCAGTAGTGCTAGAGATATGTTTGAATTTCTAAACATTCGTATGAATATGAGGACATGTATGAAGATAATGCTGCAAGTAGGGGCATTTATTTCCACAATTGGAGATTTCACAGTATGTTATTCTTTACCTAACTGTAGCCTGATGGGTCCTGAGAAAAGATCAGGCTTTAGGGGAAGTTCCGGTCATCTCATACAGCTTCAGGCTCTGATGTGTAATGTAACTGAAAAGAAACTGCTCTTTCTATCTGGCTGCTTGGACAGTCTGTGTGTACATTGTGTGTACATTGTGTGTACATTGTGTCTGTGTGTACATTGTGTCTGTGTGTACATTGTGTGTACATTGTGTCTGTGTATACATTGTGTCTGTGTGTGTCTGTGTGTACATTGTGTGTACATTGTGTGTACATTGTGTCTGTGTGATGTGCTGCAAGCAGGACATGCAGTGACCAGCAGGACAAGTGAAAGAGAAAGCATCCCTAAAGTGATGTAATGTGTCTACATGGAAAACTAATGCTCAGTATTTGATAACAAAAAAAAGAGCCCAATGTTGCTAAAGATGGAGTTTTCTAAATCTCTACTTATTCAGGACTAGACTTGATTAAATAACCCTATGACCTTAAACAGCATATGATGTGATTAGTCTCTAATATGAAACTACAGTCATCTCACAGCTTTCTTACACTTCACATCTATAATCAATTAACGGCATCCATCTTCATCTTCATCTTCACTCAGCAGCCAGGTGTTTCACAAATACCTTGAAGGACCTCCTTTTTTTCCAAGTCTTCTTTGTGATATATTTACATTTTTAACGCATTTGAAACTATTTATTAGTTGGGTAAACTTTCCCAAGCACAGACGTTTGTATTTGAAGGTATATACATCTCTTTTTGTTTGCCTAAACCTCTCCCAGAGTATTTGAACAGAAATAATGTGTTAAACGGAAAAGAAAAGCTTTCCTTCAGCAGAGTAAACCAACTGACATAAACAAAGATAAGCCAGGCAAACAAAATAAAACAAGAGTCATTCATAAATAATGGCATTCACTTTGTTCCACACACAGAAGTGTTCCTTCACAAGTGTGCTGGTGAATCAGCGTGAAGAATAAGGGGGTCCACAGAGGGAGGGGACCAGGAGGCAGTTATGTGTGTGTCTGTTGTTCTATGTAAAGGAAAACGAGTGCACTTGTTACAGTGTATGTCGATACAGTGTGTGTGTGTGTGTGTGTGTGTGTGTGTGTGTGTGTGTGTGTGTGTGTGTGTGTGTGTGTGTGTGTTCTTAGGAAAGTGGGGGCACTGGATGGGCAGTCTCATGGAGAGCTGAGAGATTAGGGAGGGTCTTGTTTCATGGACCTTAAGACACATGTTCTCTCTCTCTCCGGCCGCCACCCCTCCTTTCTCTCATTGAACTATAAATGCCCCCCTACCTCGGGGAATGGTGGGCCGTGGACGGAGGGAGGAATGAGGGGCTTCCACTTGCTTTTCATTAACACAGGATCTGGTAACACACCTCACTGTCAACCTAATCCCCCACTCTCCATATTGTCCCCTGGCAGAGGGGGGCTGCCATTACCAGGTACACGGCCCCAGATGTTTTACGGATGGGGGGGATGCCGGGGTCTTCATCCGCTGCAGCTGGGGACGTACGCTGATAAAGACGGGGGTTGGGTGTTACTGCTACCCTGTATTATATCTCCTTTATTCATCCGCCTCTCATTCTGATATATTGACCTTTTTCCCTCATTTGCTCCTCTGCCCTACTACAACTCATTCACATATGTCCTTTCTTTTTTGTCAGGTGAGGCCTTTGCTATCATGTGTAAAAAACAGCAATATTTAAAAGACATTTCTTTCCCAGTTTGAATACATTATAAAGTGTCAAATTGTCTAAATCGCAAAGACTTCCC